CTTTTAAATATTTATTTCTTATTTTTAGTTATTTTTAATTAGTTATTATTTTATTTATTTTTATATTTCTTCTTTTCCTTTATTTTATGTTCCTTTAAATAAAAAGATCTTCTACTTGATACTCATCACTTTAAAATTTGCTACAGCTTGATAGTTTTTAGTAAATTTTATTACAGTACTTATAGTATACACTGCTTCCGAACCAAACTCCTAATTCAAATAGCCTAGTAGGACTGTAACCTGTTCTTGGTACCCCAGTGTCTGCCTTCCAAGGTTCTTTTCTTCCAGTTCAAGACTTCCAGCAGTCTGGTTGGTAGTACCCCTTACCTAAGGTTCTTGCCTGCCTGATTTCTTCTACATTGGTATCTGTTTCCTAGATCTAGTCTTTACAGCAATATTGTCAAAGATCTGTGCTACCTCTTTACTCAGGTCTTCCCAAATGTAGTAGACTAGTTATGTCAGAAAAATGTTCTGATCACGTAATCATTAATCCTTTCTGACCATAGCTACAAATTGATGAATCACGTTAATAGATAAGTAGTATAATGTAACTTCATATTTTATATAAAATGGATCTAAGTATTACTATTACTTTTTTTATTTCATATTATAAGCAACAGGTCTAGAAGGAACATAGAGACAAGAAACAATAATAATGCAAACAGATTTTACAGATCAAGAGCCAAACCAACACTTCTAATAAGGACTTAGGTTTCAAACTTCTATCTCATAATATACATATGTACATATGAATATATTTTTAAAAAACTTGGTTTAAAAAAATTCAATTATTTCGAATTCTTGATTATGATTTAGTTTTTCAAATTCTAACTTTAATGATCATAGGTTAGTTAATTCAATGGGATATATTTATATCGATGTGCTTATATATTAGCTTAATATTTAGATCAAGTTAATATTTTACTAATAATAAAAATTTGATATAAATTATTCTAAAAAAAAACTGGTAAGTTGTTTTATTTGCAATAAATTTATATTTTTTTATATCTTTGATTTTTTTAGCTGTAATAAGTTCTCATTTATTATATTTTTTAATTAGATATAAAATGTTAAGAATAGTGATGAAAAAATGTGCATAAATGCATTAATGTGCATAAAATGTTTTATGTGTATGATATTGCATGATAAAAAAAAGTCAAAAAAAAAAAAATGATCAAGAGAAGAGAAATCTTGATGAGATAAAATGTGCATGAAATGGAATCATGCACATGTTTCCACAATTATGCGCATATATGAAACCCATCTCTAGTTAAGAATAATGAATAATATTAAAAAGTCGAATATAATTAAAAAAATTTTTTAGTAAATTTATTATAGCCAAAAGGCTAATTTACTGTTCTTTGATGCTTTTCAGATATGTTGTTGTGTTTTTGCACAAAGAACCTCATTACACATTATTATTTCAGCAATAATAGGATGTATAAGAGTTCTATATTCTTCATAAAGTTTATCATTTTTGATATTACTATCTATAATTTTTACTAATGATTCAAATATTTTCATATTATTTTTTAGGCTCATTTCTCTATCTTCTATTATTGCATGATGTTCAATAATGAATGCAGTTGTACTAGAAGTATTGAACATAAAAGTATTGAATGTTTCTGATTTAGTTTGGAGTTCTACAGTATTATTCTGCAAAATAGTATTTCACAGATTGTTATCAAAATTAATTCTTGGAATACTTTCTTCAAAAGTAACAAGTAGATAATCATGATGGCACCTAATAGTTAAAAATTGAAGAACAAAAAATGGATTTTTTATGGAATATTTTTTAACCAGATGTTTGCATACAAGGTAAGGGTTATATAAAAAGGCAGGACAAAAGCAAATCTAATTGTCTATGTTTGTATAATAACAATCTAATATGTTTATATTCTTTTTAATTGTAGACTTCCAATCATGTTTAAATGCATTCCACCAAAATAGAAAATTATGATTATATCTAAATCTTTTCCAACTAATTATAATATCTGGAACAAGTTCTTAAACAAGAATTTGTGTTAAACAATCTAGGCATGGTCTATTAGAATTATACTTATAATTATACTTTAGAACATGCCAATGTGACTCTGTAATTATGGTCATTCTGGCAATAGGCATTGCTTTTGAATAAGCTGCATAAGTAAACAAACGCCAATCTTTCATATTATACCAGTTCATTCACAAGTACCTTATAGACTAATAAGGTGTTTTTTATAACAAAATTGATATATCTCTAATACACTTTGGTGTCGAATCTCTTCTGTTGTAAGAAATATACTTATGTCTAAAGGTATTAGTGGATGTAATAGTGCATGCTTTGTAATTATTCTTAGTAACTCTTTCCTAAATTCTTTAGTGCATATATCACTTGGCTGTTTTTTAGGAAACCAAGTTAGATCAATGAAGTTGAATTCATGATATGCTTCATTTTCATTCTGCATTAAATACTGATTTTCTTTAATTTTTTTCCTTTTAGTTTGCACTTTATTGCATATTTTATATGCCAAAGGCAAAGATGAACTATTGCTATTCGAGACCAAGCCTCTTAAGTAGCAGAAATTTCACCAGAATCCTTATCCAAAAGTATAAATGAAGGTAAAATACCTTCATTTCGCAATCTTACAAAAAAATCCTTTAGCATACCAACTCATATGCATATATTGTTTTTGGGATTTAAAGTTTGTTCTAACATTGTATGTGTATATACATATAGATATGCAAGAGGAACACTGTATTCACTACAATTTGCCTTTATTGCAAAAAGTTCAAAATGTTCTTGATTTGTTTTAAATATTGAATTAATAATAATTTCACTAATATTTTGTTATAAATTTTGAAGGAATGGCATAATGAAACTAAAAGAATGTACAAAGTTATTTTCTAGATATTGAATAACTTTGTATTTCACATTTACTAATTTTTTTCTTTCTAGAAAATTTTTGGCAGATTTTGCCTAATTAGCTATATTGGTCCTGTATTGCATTTTTATGAACTTATCTGTTCAGTAATATACTTGCTAGTAAGTATGATATGATGGATCAATTAAATTTTCATTACAAAGCCATTTATAAAAATCTATTTTTTATGAAGTTTGATTAATATGTTGCTTTATTCATGTTATAGCATTATTAGGTAAGTTGGTTCTCTATATGTTGAACATTTATGAGATACTGAATGCTTTGCTAATATTGTTGCATACTCTTTGCATAGATCTATTTTAATTACTATAAACTCATTATATAGATAATGTTCAATTGTAGGCCATGTTTCATTCATTCTTTTTGGAGGTTGGTCATTATTTTTAGATTAATGATCTATTCTTTGAGTGTAACCTAAATAAGCTGTTGTGCATTCTGTATATTGATCATTTTTTCTTGTTAATATATAGATTTCTAAGTTTCCAATAATATCCTAACTCTTTTTGAAGAGATACAATCAATGTATTAACAATATTACAAAATTTTTCTTCATAATCAAATTCTGAAGATAGAATTTCATTACTAATAAATTCTTTCTTAATTTCTACCATTGTAGAGAATTTAACATAGCCATCTTCTTTAAACTTATTAGTAACAAAGTCTTTAAGGTCACATATACTATAGATAAGTTAATCTTTACTACACTCATTATCATCATTTTCTGATATCTTTTTATTTAAAAAAACATTTTTAGTTAAAGAGAGAGAGAAAACACTTTCATTAGATGATTTGTTTCTAAGCTGTTTGGCTTTTTTATTTTTTCTGTTTTGTTCAGTACAGGAACTATATTGGGAATGTGTTTGGATCTTATTTCCTGTTTTTCATATAAATTCAGCAATAGGTTTGATCTTGTTACAGTGTGAACATTATTTATTTTTAATACTTTTGTGAGTTTTGATGTTTTGAGCAGACATTTTTATTAAATTCTGTATTAGATATTAAATTAATTTTTTTTTTTAATTTGAATGTGTTTCAAATTGATTACAAATTCTTTATATTTATAGATTTTTTATAAATATGATAAATTATATATTAATGCACTAAGTGTGATTACTACTGTTAATTTATTATATGTGATCATTAAATGAGATATACCTCTATTTTAATTTACTTTTTTTACTAATTAATTTTATTTCTTGAATCTATAGTCTGCATAATCATAATGGCAAAGACATCATATATCATAATGCATAATATTTTAGCCAATCTGTAAAAATGTATGATATTTGAATAGCATATAACCTCTAGTACATATATATTTAATAATTGTACATTTTTTGAACCTATATTCTGAATTATCACAGTAGCTAAGATACAATGCATCTTGATGCATTTTTTGAACTTATATTATGCATTATTGCAGTGGCTAAGACACAATGCATTTTGATGCTTTTTTCTATATTCTGCATTATCACAGCAGCCAAGACATATTTCTGACATGATTAGTCTACTACATTTTTTGGACCTATATTATACATTATTACAATGACCAAGACACAATGCATTTGATGCTTTTTTTGAACCTATATCTTGCATTATCATGGCGGCCGAAACATAATGCATTTTAATGCATTATGTTAAGGTGACCAAAACAAAATGCATTATGTTGAGGCAGCTGAAACATAATACATCTTGATGCATTGTGTCTTGGCCACCATGATAGTACACAACTAATAAGATTTATTTTGCTACATAGCCATATTATAATTTTAAGCAATAAATCTTAGGTGAACAAACCTGTTAAGATTTGCTGATATGTTCAAAATACTAGACAAATTCATAATATAAATAGACAAGTTTATTATAAATAAAGGGCAATTCACCCAAGTAAAAGAGAAGTGACTACATAATTCAAATAGTTAATAATTTTAATTTTGTTAATAAAAGTCAGTTTTAAGCATTTATAGTATTTTTATTAATTACGAACATAAAACTGACCATCCAACTTATAATAAAAGTGAAGGTGTTGCCTTATACAACTAGTAACTATCATTAATCTCATTACTAACACTACCTGTTCTTTAAGAGTAACTAAAAACCTATAATTGATCATTTGCCATAGTTACATGCCTAGTAAACTATAACACTGATTTGATATAGTATAATTCTGAGTTGCAACAATAAAAGAAAATAAGAATTAAAATAAGAGTAGGTTGAAAAAAAGACTTAACAGAGGAGATCAGTACTTACTTATAATCTACTTGCCAAATCTAACAAGCCTGTTTTGACTTGGCTGCCATAAGTTACATGAGAGTTGGATTTGATTAGCGACAGATTTGCTGATTCTCGAGACACCACTAAATAATAATTCAAGTAGGAGTTGTTAAAAAAAAAAAAAAAAATTTAAATAAACTCTGAATTCATGAATTTTAAAAAATAAGCTCTAAATTATTTATCAAAATGCTAACTGCAGTAAGATTTTTGGAACTTTGAGTGAAGATATTTTGACAACCACCTAACTAAATTTACCAAATTTAGTTAGATAGTTGTCAAGATATCTTCATTCAAAGTTCTGAGAAAATTAGAAACATCTCAAAATGCTAATTGCAGTAAAGATTTTTGAATTTTGAGTGAAAATATCTAAATAATTGTCTAATTAAATTTGTTAAGCTTTTTTTTTTATTTTGATTATATGCATTCATAGAATTAAAAACAAAAATACATAGAATTTAACTAGGCGGTTGTTAAGATATCTTCATTCAAAGCTTTGAGAAAATTAGAAATGTCTATAAAAATATTAGCTGCAACAAAATTTTTTAAAGCTTTGAGCAAAGATATCTTGACAACTACCTAACTAAATTTGATGAATTTTTTTAGGTTGTTGTCAAGATGACTTCTTCTGAAGTCTTGAGAAAATTAAAAGTGTTCTAAAATGCTAATTTCAGTAAAGATTTTTGGAACTTTAAGTGAAAATATTTGGATAACTGCCTAACTAAATCAATGAACTTTTTTCTATTTTGATTATATGCATTTATAAAGTTACAAATAATTGAATTTAATTAGATGGTTGCTAAGATATTTTTATTCAAAGTCTTGAGAAAATTAGAAACATCTATCAAAATGTTAACTGTGGCAAATTTTTTTAAAGCTTTGAGTAAAGATATCTCAACAACTAACTACTAAATTTAATGGCCTATTTTTTATTTTAATTATATTTATTCATAGAATCAAGACAAAAAAAAATTAATTAAATTTAAATAATAAAATAATGCGATATCTTAATATAAATATTTAATCTTTTCAAAATTTAGTTTAATTAATCAAAGGTCAGAAATGATTGACAATTACATGATCAGGACATATTTTTGACATAACTAGTCTACTAGTAATAATACATATGTATCACAGCATATGTTGTGAGGGAGAAAATAGGCAATAATCAACACTGAGATAGTTTGATTAATTTAACTAAAATCAACTTGTATCTGCCAAATCTGCCAGATATAGCAGAAATGCAGATATAGTAAAAGAAGCAGATCTAGTATATAGGATAAATAGAACAGATATGTTAGAAAAACAGGTAGTAAAGAAAATGTATATAAAGATGCAAAAGTTTATTCACAATAAAGATAACTTTTCTCTTGAGCTTAAAACTACTAAATAATATTAGTAGTAGTTCCTTAAGTACTTATATGTTTATAGTATCATTGTGTTTAACTTGTTCCTGTGATTAGTAAAAGATCTGTTATTGATAGTTCATTGAAAGTAAAAGAAAAATCTTATTAGTAATCGACTCCTCTTATATAGAAATTGTTAAATTAATTAAGTAGTGATTAATTCTATTGTTGATTAAACTTATATATATAATTATATTGTAATCTTGTGATGAGTAACTCAAAATTCAAACCTGAAAGCAGTATTGGAACTTAGGTGCACTTGAACAATAAAAAAAAGATCAGTCCATAAGCAAATAATAAAGACCTAATAATAGCAATCTATATTAGTATAATAGTCAAAATTCTTGTCCAAGGTTCAAAGAAAGACTTACTACCAGATACATGATTGCTGCAGTATCAAAAAACACACTACTCTCAAACCAGATCAATTCATGCCTCAATCATAGCCTACCTGTAGGGTGTATAGAGCAAATTCTAGCAGTTTTATTTGAACATTTGTATTATCTCGACCTTTATAATTACCTAGTTAGAATAATTTCCTAGTAGTATGACCAGATTTAACTGTTACAATTTGGTGATGACTATGAGATAGAACCAACTGAATCAACACCTATCTATAAAATATATACAAATCCTTACTCATTAATTAATTGATCAAAATGTCTAAAAATATATATCAAAACCAGAAGAATAAGACTAGATCTGTCCCTATCCTAGAAAAACCAGCCAACATTCCTAGTGACTCATCTGAAGCTTCTCAATACTTACTTAATTTCAATGATCAGAGCCTCACTAGTACCCATCATTCCTAACCTTATCAAGAAAGCATTTAGGATATCTTGAAAGATATCACTAAAGCCTTTTAAGATGCTACAATAAAAGTGACTTATGAGGACAATACTAAAAATAACTACCAAGATTGTAAGACCAACTGGATCCAAGTAAAAACATTTTATGGTACTGAGGAGGAAGACCCAGTTGAATGGATAGAGGCATTCAAACAGGCTGTTAATACCAACAATTGACCCAGAACAAGAAGAATTGTCATTGCATCTGGTTAGCTCTTCAGAATTGCAGAAAACTGATATACTGATTATAAAGATACCATTCAATTTTGGGATAATGCTGACCAACCTGATGCCAGCTTTGCTTTTGAGTTTATCAAGTATTTTACCATGCCAGAAAGGCAATATAAGTGGCAAATAGATCTTAACTTATTGGCATAGCAAGAAAAAGAGAAGATTGACTTATATGCTTATAAGTTTAAGAGACTATTGAAAAGAGTAAAAGCAGAAAATAATTTACCACCCACCTATGTCATTAAAATGTTTATTGACAAACTCAAAGGCAATATTACTGTATTTATGTCAATTTCTGAGCTGAGAACTCTCGATATTGCTATTGAAAATGCTAAAAAAGTAAAAGTGAGTAAATACTATAAGGCCAGAAAGAGAAAAAAACCTACAAATTAGTTAATTAATGTCTTAACCTATAAAATGCAACAAATGACTGCAAATTATGAAAAATTAATTACCGTATTGGCAGCCAGAGTTGAGGTTAACCTTTGACCAGCCCAAAATCGATTATTTCTATTTTGACAGCCTCCAAATGACAATATTAAATGTTATAACTATGGTGAATGAGGACATATAGCAAGAAATTGTTTGTCAAAATGATACCAAAACACTGGAAGACCTACAGGTGTACATAGGCATGAGGTGCAACAAAAGAATATTAATTTGTATAACTTATATGCTCCTGAAATAAAAGAAGAACTATATGCTGTTAAGTGATGATCCAAACTAGATGCAAACTAAAATGAGCTGCTAAGGAAAAAGATTGCTTATAAACTAAATTAAATATTCTAGCAAATCCAATTCACTACAATAGAGAAAATTATCTAACAACAATGTCAGACTCCAGTTCTACTCCAACTTTTGATAACTAATCAACTGAGACAAATCAAGACCTCTCTGTGGTCGACTTAGCCCCACAATATAATATAGCTGATGATTTATTGCACTAGTTGGCTAATGCAACTTATGCTCAAATGTTGCAAATCTCTAAACAAAGGCATAACCTTGCTAAAGCATTAAGATGACCTCTAGTATCACTAGAAAAAGATACTCATGTTGCTGACAACCAGTCTAACTATAGAATTACAGTAACAAAATGTTATGTTAGAGTTCAAAATAACCTAGTATTGGCAATATTAGACTCTGGAGCCACTGTCAGCATAATATCAAAAAAATTGGTTAATAAGTTAGGCCTAGTTGTCAAGAAACTATTCAATACAGTGGTAATTACTACCAATGGTATTAAAAAAAAGGCATTAAGTAAACTGTCAAAACTAAAGATATGTGTAGGAGAAATAATAGTGCCTACCAATTTCTAGATCATAGAAAATTAGGATGAAATGATATTATTATGCATGAACTTGTTCCAAAAGGTTCATGCCTGTCATTGTTTTGATGAAAAAAAATTGTTTCTTAGATATATGGATAAGAGCATTAAAGTATCCATATATTAAATCAGAGAAGACTAACCAGAGTTGCCTTCTAACATTCCTGAAATGAATGAAGACAATGGTGGCTTCTTCAATAAATATAAAGATGAGAAAATAGAAGAAGTAGAAAGTTACCATACTGATGAAGCTATGGCTGATGAGAAAGACTTGTTTACTAACCTATGGAGAAACAAGTACAGTTCTGCCATTTATTTAACAACTATTAAGGAGTTTCCAACTGCTAAAAGATCAAACAAACCTAAACTAACTTTTGAAAAAACTATCTAAGCATTAGTACAAACTGACATTCTAAATAAAAAACAAAAAGATAAAGCCCTGCTTATCTTAAAATGCTATAGTGAATTATTCTCTACTGGGTTAGATAAATTAGGTTATGCAGCAGAAGTTCAACACAAAATAAATACAAGGGATGCAAAACCAATTAAGCAAGCATCTTATCAAATAGCTTCTGATAAACAAGAATTTTTGAGTAAGGAAATAAAAAAATGTTAAACAATAGGTTAATCTATAAAACAAAGAGCCCTTGAACCTTTCTAGTCATGATAGTTACAAAGAAAAATGGAAATCTAAGATTATGTATAAACTATCAAAAAATAAATATGGTTATAAAAAAAAAGCTTATCTTTTACCCAAAGTTGATAATCTATTAGAATTGTTTGGTAAGGCAAACTGGTTCTCTAGTTTCAATTTGGCTAACAGATATTGGCAAATAGAGGTAGCCCCTGAGGACCAAGAGAAAACAACATTTATTACTAAACAAGACATATATGCTTTTAAGGTAATGCTGTTCAGGCTCTATAACACTTCAGCAATCTTTTAATAGACCACAAATTATATCTTAAATGAATTTATAGGTCAATTCATCATGGTATATCTAGATGATATTATAATCTATTTACAGACCTACTGGGACCATTTGAACTACATACAGAAGATTCTTGCAAAAGTTAGAACTGCTAAGTTAAAATTTAGTTCAGAAAAATGTAAACTGTTCAAGGCTAATGTCTAATTTTTAGGACACTTGATAGAAAGGAATAGTATAAAACCTGATCTGAAAAAAATAAACAAAGTTCAAGAATTTCCAACACCAACCAACATAAGGCAGCTGAGAGGCTTCATTGGCTTGGCCTTCTATTATTATTGTTTTATCAATCATTTCACAACTATGGCAAAACCCTTGCATAAACTATTAAAAAAGAATGTCAAATATGAATAGGACACAGAATAAGAAGAGACATTTTGAACATTAAAAACCAGACTGACTACAGCCCCTGTTTTAAGATACTTAGATTTTACCAAAACCTTCTATCTACATATGAATGCTTCTGAAACCAGGCTTGGAGCTGTATTAGCTTAACAAGAGAAGAACAGGAGGGAATATGCTATCATCTATGCTAGTAAGAGTCTAATTAGGGTGGAATGAAATTATGCAGCAACCAAATTAGAGTGTTATACTGTAATTTAAAGCATGAAACACTTCTATCATTATTTGAAGTATAAACTATTTATAATTGTTATTGATTATACTGTATTAAAATAATTCAAAACACAGTGTCAAAAGGAAGAAGGACATGTTGGATACTAAGGCTGCAACTATATAATTTTACTATCATATATCAAGTTGGCAAAAGCACTATAATGCTGACTTGTTATTCAGAATAGTGAAAGAATCTCTTGTATCTCCAAATAATATGCTATATAAATGAGTATATCAAGAATATTAATTCTATTAAAAAAGTAAAAACCTTTCATATAATTGTTGTGAATTACTAACTGGAAGAAATTGATGAAGAATCGACTCTAGTAAACTGGCTCTCAGAGTTTGAAAAAGATGATGAACCTCAGCAAAATGAAAATGAAGCATGAAACAAAATGTGAGAAAACTGGAATAGAAAGACTCTGAACGAATATTTTGAATAAGAAAAACAGCATTGAGAATTAATAGAACAGTTAAATAATGAATTCTATGATGAAAAAATGTAATTATATCAAAATGGGTATTTGAGGGAGACTAAAGTTAGTAATGAAGACAAGTTGATAGATGTTCTTGAGAAATATGAGATAGACTAACCACAATGGGCTGATAAAGAATTAAGCTTTGATGATATTAATGAAGCATGGGACCCTGGTTATGCTCACAACTCCTATCTAAGTCATGACAAATATTGGTAGAACACCAATATCAAAGATGAAATATTTTACAACATCATAATTGATCCTAAAAATTCAGAATGACTACTGCCCTTAGATGATGATGCAGAGATAGATTGAGAATACTAAATAAAAAAAAAATACCTATAAATATGAATCTCCTCATCAATGATCTATTATCTACTCAATTAGCAAATATAACCCCAATTCCTTCACCTTATACTGAAACTGATTTTGTTGAGATAAAGATAGACCTGGTATATTAGGCCATGTTGCGAACCACATGAATAGAAAACTATATTGGAGGGTTAACATATGCATATTATTTAGATGCACTTATCGATCAACTGACATCTGCACAATAAACATTACAAAAATCAAAAATATTTAAGCATTATTATATTATAATCATCTGAGTATATGATTTGTTCAAGTCAACTGGCATTGAACAAATTGAGTACATTAATTATATGAACTTATCAAAAATCATGACCTTAATGCTCTATAATGACCAACAATTAATATAAGTTGTATTAATGACCAATATAACATCATTTACTATAAAGAAAACTGGAACAATGACTATCTGGATGAGCTTCTTAATTTACAAAACTAAGTCAAAAAAAAAATGTTTACTTTTTTAATTATATATATATATATATATATTTTTCTTTCTTTCCTTTTTCTTTTCTGTCAATTTGTTTTTTTTTTTATATAATAAACTTAATTGTTAGAAAATTTTGTTTGCTTAATACAATATTATTTTTGTAAAACTCAAAAACAAGACTGAGAGAATTGTGAGAAGGAAAATAGACAATGATTGATACCAAGATAGTTTGATCGATTTAACCAAAATCAATCTGTATCTGCTAAATCTGCCAGATATAACAGAAATGACAAATATAGCAGAAGGAGCAGATCTAGTACATAGGATAGATAGAACAGATATGATAGAAAAATAGGTAGTAAAGAAAATGTATATAAAGGTGCAAAAGTTTATTTACAATAAAGATAACTCCCCTCTTGAGTTCGAAACTACTAAATAATAGTGGTAGTAGTTTCTTAAGTACCTATACGTTTATAGTATCATCATGTTTGACTTGTCCCCATGATTAGTAAAAGACCTGTTATCGATAGTTCGTTGAAAGTAAAAGAAAGATCTTATTAGTAATCGACCCCTCTTATATAGAAATTGTTAAATTGATTAAGTTGTGATTAACCCTATTGTTGATTAAACTTACATATGTAATCGCATCGTGATCCCGTGACAAGTAACTTCGAAATTCGAACCCAAAAGCAGTATTGGAACCCAGGCGCACTTGAACAATAGAAGAAAGACCAGTTCATAAGCAAATAGTAAAGACCTAATAATAGCAACCATTATTAGTATAATACCCAAGATTCCTGTCCAAGGTTCAGAGGAAGGCTTACTACCAGACACGTGATTGTCGCAGTATCAAGAAACACCCTACTCTCGGACCAGATCAATCCATGCCTCAATCGTAGCCTACCCATAGGGTGTATAGAGCAAATTCTAGCAGTGTTACTTGAACATTTGTGCTATTTTGACCTTTGTAGCTACCCAGTTAGAATAATTTCCTAGTAGTACGACCAGATTTAACTGTTACAACGTGCATAGATGTATGTAATGTGAATGCAATTTTTGTGTGGTTACATCGCTACGTTTATTTTTTTTTGCATCGAATTCTGTCATAGAATTCTGTGCAGAATTCTGTGCAGAATTGCACTGGTACAATTTGTTTAGAATATTGTACAACCACACTAAAAATAAAAAATTCGGTATGTTTGTTGCATTACCGTTTTTTTTTAACGTATTTTTTTTTGCAAATTCAAATAGAACAAAAAATTAATGATGCTTTTAAACAACTAAATTTCGATGAGTGTAAAAAATTTGCAAATACAAACAAAGAAAACGGAAATTATTGGCTTGGTTACTGTTACGAATTTGGAATCGGGGTTGAAAGGAATAAAAATGAAGCATTCGTTAATTATCAAAAATCCGCTGACCTTAATAATCCAGACGGAATGTATCAAGTTGGTTATTGTTATAATTTAGGAATTGGAGTTGAAGTTAATAAGCAAAAAGCATTAGAAAATTATCTGAAATCTGCCAAGGCGGGTAATTTAAAAGGAATTTGGAAAACTGCTTAGTGTTACTATTACGGAATTGGTGTAGAAAAGAATGACGATGAGTTTCGGAAATGGATTAAAAAGTAAATTTTTCAATTTTTAGTAATTTACAATTGAAAGTATTTTAATACAATTTTAATAATTTAAATTTTATTTATTAGGAAGTAAGTATAAAAAAATCTGTTAATTAAAATTAAGTTCATAAATATTAATTACTTGTTTGTATTAATTTAGCCTGTAAGTATAAAAAAACATTTATTTATTAATTATTAGAATTAAAAACAACAAAGCAAGTTCACAAATCAAGAACATAAATACTTATTTACCATTACCATTATGTAATAATACCCTTCAAATTATTTCATTCGCATTAATCATTCATTCAGTGAGTGAGTTTAAAAAACATTTATTAATCAGTAGAATAACAAACAGCAAAGCAAGTTCACAAATCAAGAACATAAATACTTATTTACTATTGCTATTATATAATACCCTTCAAATCATTTCATACTTATTAATTTACACTAGTCAAAAATAATATATTTAACCCATACAAAACATCAAACAAATTTAATAAAAAACTTGTAAAAATACTGAATTAAATGTTAGTTATATATAGTTAAAATATTGTACAATTTTGACTATATTTATCTATCATTAATTACTATTAAAATATTTACAAAATAAATATTAAATCAAAGCTAAACAATCAACCAATATAATTAAATTTAAAAATAAATATAAAATAAACGTTATTAAAACAAGATTCAAATATTATATAAATATTTATATAAATATATAAAAAACAATATATTTTTATTATCATTTGTTCGATGTTTTTTTTAAATTTATTAAATATTTATATTTAAAGTTGGTTATATTTTGACTAAATATGTGTAGTTTTTATACTGTATTTTATATTACATTTATTCAATATTTTGTACAACTTTTATATTTGTATAAAATATGTATGATGTATATAAATATAATGTTGATTATTAATTATTTATTCTGCATATTACAATAATATTTATTATAAATAAATATCGCGATCATAAATTTTTTCTGCATTTTGAAAATATGATATTGGTTAATATAAAAGCACTAGTAATAACAATAGCATTAAAAAATCTATATATATAATATGAAATACAAATAAGATTAGTAAATAATAAAGCGTATATAGAAAAATATATCGTACAGCACTACACAACACCACGGAGGTACTTTGAAAAGGAATTTTAGGTTGACTTCCACAAAATTATACTCTTCTATAATTTGTTTCCAAGGATAAAACTGCATTGCATTTGGATTAGAATAAGAATAGCCTAGTAGTAAAATTTGATTAAGCCGCTTCGATTGTTTATATTACCTGATCTAAAAACTTGATCAGTCAGAAATCACAGGAGGGTACAATTTTGTGGGTGCACTAGAAAGGTTTGGAGGATACTATATTTGGATATTGTATATAGTGCTATACGGTAATTAATGAAAAAAAATACAACTATTACATTATATTAGTATCTTTTAGGCCTAATCGGGAAGAAAAGATAACTTATCAGGTGAAAGACCAATTAGTTCATCATATTGTGAATGGTCAGATTCGGGGTAAACGTGCTTTAACATGCTACTTTCCCTTTCTTTGCCTTTTGAATATGGTGACCACCTGCTTGGACATTGAATATCAGCTTTTTTATTTAAAATTGTTCATAATCGATTGTGCTTTAAATAATAAAAATTCAAGGATTTTTTATAAATTAAATTAATGAGTGAATTGAAATATATTGTTAAATTGCTTTACCTCATCTGAGCGCCAATATATAGGTGCAACAAGTAATTGCTTTTTATCTTGTGAATGAAGTTCTTGATGTTCTTCGTCCGTTAGTTCCGGTAATATACAACGTTTATGAAGAATTAGTTTAATTTCCTCCTTTGGATGGCGTAAATCTTCAGTATCAGAACATTAATCCAAGGCTTTTAATAATGCCATAGATTTCTAAAAATAATATTTAAATTAAAATTTTAAAACATACATATAAATATATAAAAGTTTTATCTTACAAGACTAAGATGATTATCACGGCGTTGTTTAATATTTCGATTATTAAAAGTATCAGGATTCTTTTTCAAGGCAAGATAATCCTTATGTAAATGGTGAAAATATTGAACTGTGATGTCCGTAATTACTTCACGTGTCCAAGGTTATTCTGATGCTAGTTCTAAAAAAATAAAATATTACGTAGTAATTTTCAAAACAACAATTAAAATTGTCATATAGACAATGCTATCAAGGGGTTTATGATAATAATAATTATGATAATAATAATAAATAAGTACTTATTACATACCATTAGTATTTTTGTGAACTTCCCAATCTTTTATAAAATAATCTACATATCACTCAATAACAATTGGATTATTTCCAGCAGTAGGCATATTGGAGATATCTGGAAGATATTCTTCGCTGACTATTTGATTTGCTGGTAAAGTTTTATTATCATATGCAAGTTTTTTTTTGCGATGTAATTTAATCTTACGATAAAGATAACGAACTAAAGTTGGATGCATTTTATGATAAGAATGTCTTGTATTGTTAATTAACTCTTTGCCTTGAATGGATTCCTCATCACTTTGTTCATTATAAATTCTTTTCCTAATTCGTTTAATAGCTTTTGGATATCGTAATGAAGAAGAAAAATTATTTTTGTTCTGACCATTGGAATTATGATTTCTCAGTAACGTTTCAAAAGTATCTAATTTGTCACTAATAAGACCGTTATGATCATTCAAACTAACTAACTCTGCATTTATCATATCAATTAGTTGCCTATTGTTATTGTTATCAGAACCATCAAATCCTTTTTGTTGAACAATGATTATCAATTTTTCTATTTTATTTTGTTGATCTGCAAGTTGTAATTTTACTTCTTCTTCGAAGTTTTCAATAATTGGTCTTGATCATCAAATCTTTTTTGATGTCCTACATATTGTGATTTTATAAGATCTTCAAGAGATTGTATTGCCGTATAGATTTAAAAATTAGTTGTTTTATTTGACATAATTGAGAATTTTTGTTTTTATTCTTTAGATTTATAGATAATGAGTAGAAGAGTTACGAGTAAGAGTCACAAGTAGTAGAAGATAAAAATTTTATCTCTTTATTTATTTTTTTTCATTAAATAAGAAATTACGATTTATTGAGTTTAAATCAGATTTAAAATCCGACTAAAGTTCTTGATATACAATATATATAATTTTGACAAGATAAAATGAGAGTTCGGGCTTTCAATTATATTTTGTACAGGACACATCCTATCTAATTCATTATAGATTGTATTCAGTACAAAATTTAATTGAAAGCCCGATGTCTATTTTTTGATAGTGCTCATATATCATTATTAATATTAAATTATTTTTTTATTTTATATAGTTGCTACACTTGAAAAAATAGAGGTTCGGGTTAATAAATAAAGGATTATGTTGAAGGTTATATTGCGAATTATCATGATTGAAAGCATGGTAAATATGATTAAGTAAACAAAAACCAAGCTCGTTTTGTGTTAAAAAAAAAAGCATAAATCTGGTAAATTATATAATTAATATAATTAATATAATTAATATAATTAATTATATGATTAATATAATTAATTATATGATTAATATGATTAATATAATTAATTATGATTAATATGATTAATTATATGATTAATACGTATGATTAAAATAATTAATTAAAATAAGCAAAAGTTAGTAGAGAAAATGATATAATAATTTTTTTTTTTTTTTTATAAAATAACTGATGTTCGAACAATTGTCCTCTTAATAACTAATTAAGAACCTAATTGAATCTGCCTCACGATTGAACGATCATTCCCTCTTGAACCTGTTTGAATCAGTTCAATGATCGAATGATCATCCTCTCTAGAACTCGTTTGAATCTGTCCTATGATCGAATGAATTTGCAAAACACAATCGAATCATGCATGGATCGAAAGCATGATAATAAAGGTTTTAAAGTGGCATGATGGAATAAATCGGGTAATAAAAAATTAATATCTGTATAATTTAACAATAATATAAATTATATAATAAACAAAATGTGATATACTTATCTTTCGATAGTGAAAATAGGGCCGAAGGATTATTATAAATTAATAAATAAAGCGAAAAGAAAATATAATAAAATAAATAAATAAGCAAATAAATATAATAAAAATTCAACAGAAATCCTAGAAAAATATATTTTTCTGAAAATAATAAATGCCTCAATATAGATTTACTAGTCATAATTATGTAAATTGACAATTTATAACAAAGTATAACATAGAGCCTAATTATGACAGACTTAGTCATCAGGATCGTCAAACAAACTTCAGATTAGTAATTTAATTCAAATAAAATTTTTTTACCTTCTAACTCCAATACAAATCTCATCTCTCTTAAATACTACTCAATGGTATATATTTGTTTATGTCCAGAGTGCAATGGAAAAAAAGTCGATCGAAGAACTTGGAATGATCATTTCGATTTATATATGTCAGATAGTTTTATGCCGTCTATGTCAATAATTTCAGAAAATATTACAAATGAAAGTAGTAAATTTCCTTTAGAAGCTTTTCAACCAGACCTACCCATAGTATCAAAAAATACAGAAACTTTATCGGATTCTTCTTTCACATCTGAAAATATGGAGATACTTCAACCTAATTCAACTTCAGTACTCAAATATACAGAACAAGATCAACATTTTGATTCTTTGAACTTTAATAATTATATGAAAAGACCAAATCATAGAAAAAAAAATAAATTTGTGGATAATATGGATCTTACTCAATTTGGTATATCTAATGATATAATTATTGAATCAGATGAAGATAGTGAGCATGAAATACAATCTAATCTAGATAATTATGAAGATAATTATGAAGATAATTATGAAGATGAAACGGATAACAGTAATATTTCTGGGGATGAAACAGAGGACAGTATTAGCATTGAGTATAATGATGAAAACATTGAATACGAAACAAATTTCTTAGCTACAAATTTTCCTATTCACATTGAATCAGATCCAAATGATATATTGTGTTTATTACTTACTGCCCCAATTATTATTCAATGGATTGTTTTATGAATTTTACTTTTTAAGCACATGATCGTTCTTGCTAAAACATCAACAGGAATTCTTTTTAATTTTTTACATTCCATATTAAATTATATCGATTCCGATTACTTTGCAACTTTTCCTAAATCTAACTATTTGTTTCAAAGCTTTTTGGACTAGATCAAAATTTTACAAAATTTTTTGTATGTCCGAACTGTCATAAACTCTTCTGGACACAAGAATATATAACCGAATTTTGTCAATCAAATTGTACTTGTGGAGCAGAACTCAAAAAACCTGTTCGTACACCTAAAGGGAAAACATTATATAAAGTATATATTTAATAATTATATAATTTTTTTTATTTATTATAAAATACTAATACTGATCTTATTTTTATATAGCCGATTAAAATATATTCTTACCATTCAATTATTTTACATCTTAAAAAAATTCTTTTGCTTCCAGAAATAGAAGAAGCATTAGAATCTTGTTATAAACGTTCATTGCAACCAAATGATTTGCTTTCTGACGTATACGATGGTCGTGTTTGGCATACATTTAAAGATAATGATGAGACTGCTTTTTTTGTTGGAAATTTAGCTGAAGGAAGACTAGGATTTTTTCTTAATATTGATTGGTTTAATCCATATAAGCATTCACCAATATCTGTTGGAGCTATTTATTTAACTATTTTAAATTTTCCAAGACATATGCGATATCAGACTAAAAATGTTTTTTTAGTTGATCTAATTCCAGGACCTCATGAACCTTCGGTTACTGAAATTCATAAATATATTGAACCAATTGCTTATGAATTAGACAAACTATGGAGTAGAGTTACAATTAAAACTACAAAATATCCTAATGGCCGGCTTTTTCATGGTGCTTTAATACTTATTGCATGTGATACACCAGCGGCTCGCAAAATATCAGGATTTGCAGGACATTCTTCTAAGCATGGGTGTTATAGATGTACCAAAAAGTTTCCAACATTTCCAAGTAATCATTCAAAAAGTGGAAAAGTAAATTTTTCTGGGTTTAATCAAGAATTTCCTCATCTTAATAATGTTACACATAAAAAATTATCTAATAATTGGTTCAATGAAAATAACCAAGGCAGAAAGTGAATATTTGAAGAATATGGAATTCGTTGGACTCCATTACAACTACTTCCATATATCGATCTTATTCGTTTTACGATAATTGATCCTATGCATAATTTATATCTAGGAACTGCGCAATATATTACAAAACTTTGGACCACCATTAATATTAATAATAAACTCTTAATTTCTAAAATAGGTTTAGAAATTATACAAAATATTATCAATCATAACCCACCACCATATGACATTGGGCGGATTCCTCATAAAATTGCGGCTGGATTTTCATCATTTATGGCTGACTAGTGGAAAAATTGGATCTTAGTCTATTCAACCTTGGCTGTTCGTAACCTACTACCTGAAAATCATCGAAAATACAGGCAAAATTTCGTATCTGCTAATGCATTGTGGGTATAAAGAGTGATTAGTATATCAGAAATTGAAAAAGCATATGAATATATTTATCAATTTTGTATCGCTATAGAGGAAATTTTTGGAGTAGAGTTTATTACACCTAATATGCATATGCATATTCATTTAAAAGAGTGCTTTTTAGATTATGGGCCAGTATATGGAATTTGGTGTTTTGCATATGAACGAATGAATGGCAAGTTATCGGCAATTCCAACGTCAAATAGAGATATTACTACTGAAGTTATGGTTTTTATATATGAGGAAATTACAAGCAATATAGTTGCATCAACTTTATTAAAAAAATTTCTGGATTCAATTAATCACTCATTCAGAATATTTTGTAATTCTATTTCATTAGAAGGCACATTGGCTAAATACTTAATACCCGTAGAAGATGTTCTAAATCTTTATAATATGTCAACTAAAATTCTTGAACAAAACATTACTGGTGCCAAATCATTCCCTGAAAAGTTTCTTAAACCTATATATTTTTCACAATTAGATGATATTACAACTCGGTATCTTGCACAATTTTATAACAAAGTTTATGCTCAAAACCGACGAACATTATCTTTTACTGCATCTTGTGATTATGTTTCAAGCTCCCATTCAATTTTTGTAACATCTGCAATTGAGCAAACTGGAACTATATATATTGGATATAAGAAGTTTGGTTCTATTTCTTCACGATCAGACTCGAATTCATATATAATTGCAGCTTTTGTTGATGAAAAAAAAATCAAAACTAGGAAAGAATATAAAATATATCACTGGCCTGGAAAAGTATTATATTATTTTAAACATCAAGTACAAGTTCCAAAAGAAGTTACTATGGAAAATAATATAGATTTTGAAACAGCGAAGCATTGGTTTGCTTTTGTTGATTGGTATAAAACATCTAATAATGTTGATTATTTTCATATATATAATCGTGAAACTGATTGCTTTTAGTTTGATGAAGGTGGACGTGCTCATGCTGGAATGTTTTGTGCTGAATTGTGGGAAAATAGCTTTTATAAATGTTCAGTTGAAAATATTCTTCCTGTTCAAAGAATATTTTATAGATTTTTTAAAGTAGATTACAAATTACATCGATCAACTAAATATATTGCAGTTATTCCAATTAATAAAAAACTAGGATTTTAAATTCATTATCATAGAAATTGGGTCTTGGTAGTAAAATTTAATTTACTAATAAAAATGTAATTTGAATTATTGAAGTTTACTTTTGGATTTGATTTACTTCTTTAGATTTCGTTATTATTATCTTTATATTACTTCCTCTTTTACCTTAACTGCATCATAATTAAATTAATTGATCTTAACCTCTAACCCTCACATTACAGATTACATGTACAAGTTACTACAGTAACATTCAATATAAACCTTATAAGTACTAATATTCACTATTGGTGCCACAATAAATATTATAGTTATATGGTTTAATAATAATTTAACACTATTGTTGTAGTAACTTTTTTTTTTTAAATTGTAGTAACTTTTGTAACTTTTGTATTTCTTAATTAGAGATCGTCTAAAGCCAGGTAGTTTTTACATTGCATAATAATACATTTGTAATGTAAATATCATATGAGGCATATAAATTACTACTTGACTTTAGATGATTCCTTATGGGCAGTTATTCAATATAGTTATATTAAAACCAGAACTGAAAGTACTTTAATTAAAGTTAACCATAATAAAGTAGCCTATATAATAAGTAAAACAGATGTTAGTTATAAAAAGATATTAATATAACGATAATAGATAATTATGTGATAATATATTAGAGATGTTATCCTGCTCTTACTGGTTAGTTGGTGCTTAAAAAATGTTTCAAAGTATATAAATAAAACTGGTTCATAAACTCAGTTCATCAAATATACTAATAATTATACTTGCATGAGCAAGTTAGTAAAACCTGCTAATTATTTATTAAAGCAATTTCATTTGAAAATACAAATATGAAAATCTTGAATGCATAAAGTGAAATAAATATATGAATACTACACATTAATCAAGATTCGTATGCATAATGATGTAAGAACAATTTTATTATCCTTGGGTTCTTGTTCTTGTTTTTCGCTGCTTAACATTCATATCTAGCAAATGTGTTTTGTAAGAACTTCACACTCCTATTTTGATTCTTAGATCTCGAGCACCCTCACTAAATCCAAATAACACCAAATGAAATAAATAGAGTTTGGGAGTGAGAATAAGATTTGAATAAGAATGTATAGATAAATATAAACTAAATATTAGTTAAATATAATAGATTTTTTGTACTTAAAATTTTAAATACAAATATTTAACCAATATTTTATATATTTATAGTTAGTAGTTTAAATATTATAAAATTTAGATTAAATATTAGTTAAATATAATAGATTTTTTTGTACTTAAAATTTAAATACAAATATTTAACCAATATTTTATATATTTATAGTTAGTAGTTTAAATATTATAAAATTTAGATTAAATA